ATCATAGTTCAGTTGTCCTCAAAGGAAACAAAGCTGGATCTCTAGGGTCTACAGGTGCAGTGTAAGCAAGACAAAACTAGAAATCGTCTTTTGCTCAAAGTAAACCCAAGGAACAGCAGCACAACTGCACACAAGCAACACCTTTCCCTAATGAACCCGAATTATTGCATGGATGAAAAAGAACCAAATAACGATTTAATTTCTTTCCAAGAGGGGGCGGGGGGGGAGTTCCATGTTTGAAAGATAGCTGATTTTCATTAATTCTTTATAATTTGTACCTATGGGGAAAAAATAAAAAAGGAGAGGCATGTATTTTCCATGTACTCCAATTTGTTTCTCATAGCTGCTCCTCTGCATAAACACATACACTTGCATAACTGATTTTCTACACCCTACTGAGACAATAAACAAGCATGGCCTTTCAAATTCACATTTGAAATTAGATGGCAAAATACTCGTGTCCTGAGAAGGACAACATTGCCTTCTTATTGGTTTATGCAGTGAAAATTAGGCATTTCTGTTTCTTACCACACACTTCCAAGTCTCTGTAATTGCTCATTGATCCACCACTGCCCATATTCTGAACATTATCAGAAGCAGAAATCGTCACAACTGCAGAGCTTGGTTCAACATCTCACATTGCGATGACTACACAAGCAGCTTGACAAGCATCAATCCAACAATCATAAAGCAGCTATACAACCACATTTTTATGTGTGCTGTAATGTTACTCTTAGTTCTTGATGGAAAATTAATAACTAAAGTGTCACAGTGCTCAACTAATATGCCTGGCTATTTCGTCAGTTGGACCACTGTGTAACACAACAAATAAAACAGACTTTGTTGGAGCTTTCATGGTTTGAGTAAACCCAGTTGCTCCACCAGCTCATTAGTAGAGCACATGCACAGGGAACTTGAAGATGCTGCTTCTCCAACTTCTCATTTTGAGGTAATTAGCATTCTCAGTGCATGCACATGCACAAGTACGCTGCAAGAGGCTGGAAAGGCTGCCCACTTGATGCAGTGGAAAAAACCACAGCAATTTACTGAATAAAGTTATATCGCAATCGATCCAGAGGAAAAAAACCCAGCAAAAACCAACTGCTATTCATTATCATCAAGGTCTCCTATTTTCTTGCTGCTTTGAAAAAACTCTGGGGGCAGGGCATCTTCTGCTCCCTGCTAAACAAAAATCAGCATTTTCAATGCACTCAATTAGCAGTGTTTTAGGTCTGTGCCACATTCATCATCACAGCTAATTGATTTCAGGCACAGGCCAATCTCACCATCCAAAATCATTATGCAGAGGTAGGTGGTGGAAAAGGAAAACAAATCTCTGATTAAGAAAAGCATGAGGGGGAGGCATACCATTTACAGGCTGCACACAGCTTTCCCTCTCAGAGAAATAACAGTGTTTAAAAGGTTCTGAAGGGATGCCCCACAATCACATTTTATAGCACTGCTCTGGAAGCCCCCAAATTGGAGATTTTTAAATTAGACAAGCAGGCTGATAAATTTATCTTTATCTCAGGAGAGAACAGAGAGAAAATTCAGTGATGTTTCCTGGCTTATTTCCCTGCTCCTCATTTCACTTCCATGCACAAAGCAGAAGCGTGCTCTGGGGCAAGGAGGAATTTCCTCTACAGAGGAAATTGCGGTAGCACTTAGGATAGTATTTCTAGAAAGCAAAAATATTTGTCACAACGAGCTAGCTGCATTGCAGTTTGGATGCAACTCTGTACGTGTCAGTGGGAATATCTGAGGTCAGCATTTGTCAGAGGGAGAAGACATGCACTCCTGTCCTCTTGGCATGAAAAGCACACATTGCCAGAGCGGGAGGCAGCTTTCCTGGCCCAAAGCCCACGCTGGAGTCCCAGGAGATAAAAGGCTGGAAATGTCCCTCCTCTTCCACACGCACAAACCACTTATTCTCCAGAGCTGGTTTTGTGCTGAGCTAAATTCTGTGTTTACATTCATCCTTTTTAACTCTTTGAAAATAAGACGTCACAGAACTGTGTTTCATCAACTGACTTCATCTCAGCCCACAGCACAGAGCTACTTTCAGCACACTGGCAGGGCTGGCTCCATGGACACTGGCACTCATCAGCCCACGCAGCCTGCAAGTGCCCAGCTGCAAGCATTGGCTTATAATCACCACTACAGATTATTATCTTTCTAGAACCATCTAATTAAGCCCTATTTTCCTGGTCTGAAAGACAGCTATATGGTAGCTCACCTGCTCCAGCTTCATCTCATTAGAAGCCTCTTCCTTCAACCACAGCCAGGTGCTCCAGCCAGCAACAGGCCCAAGGTAATGTCCAGCAACATCTTTCCAACAGGAGCACCACAGCTGGTTTGGGGCAGGTCATGTCGTACATGTGAGAACTGCACCCATCTCCTAAATGCTTTTCATCTAAACATGAATAAATGAATAGTTGCTGCTTTTCTCTTTTCCCTTGTTATTCAACAGAGGATGTGAATATTCAGGAAGCAAAATCCTACTACGTTTGGGGTCTATTCCTACTTTATAATCCCTTGCATACTACTTTCTACTGCAATCTACTGCATAGTTTCACCTTTTCTTCACCTGTATATAGCTGCAAGAAGAAAGTACTTATGAAATTCATTTTAACAAACACCAAAGCTTTAATTACCTTCTCTTTCGGGTTATTGTCCTCCTGAACTCATTTTTCTCACATTGTATTTATTCACAATACCGCAGTAGCAGCAAGGAAAGAAAAAAAAGCCCCAGCACCAACACAGCTGTGTTAAATAATTCTGCTGCACGAATTTGCTCTCACTGAACCAAGGAAGCTCAGCAAAGCATTGGCATGTTTCTGCATCAGACTGCAAGTGAGCAACAACTGTTACGGCTTTATCTTGGTACAATACTGCTGACTGCTTCAATTAAAGTATTTACAGTCTTCTTTATTTAGATACCTCCTGCAGCCCCAACCACTACAGCAGATGAGCACTTTTGACAGTTGCTACTCATATCCCAACACCTTTTCCACAGCCTGAGGGGAGGCATATAGCAAGTGGAACATGATTTTCACCCAATTATATATTCCCACTTCTTTTACAGATCTGTGAAAACAAGCAGCTTTCCTGAACGTTCTTTTTTGCCAAAAAAAAAAAAGCTAGGCAGTTAACTACTTTGCAGGTGAACTAGTCAATACTGGTGGATTGTTTCAAGAATCATACATTAAAGTACTTAACAAAATAATCTAACAGCAGTGCCCTGAATTTGACTCCCACGGGTCCTGCTCAGTAGCCACCCCATCACAGTGCTGCAGGTTATCAGCCGTTTCACAGATAGATGCACATTTAAGGTACCTTTTAATTTACTCTTACTCCAACGTTCATTGCTAATGAATAATGAGGTGCCCAAAAGCAGCCTGCCCTCCAGATGAGACGCGATGCAGTGCCCTCTGTTTTCACCCAGTGCAGCAGAGGCCCCACCAGCCACAGACCAACACACAGCAGGAGGCACAGCCCTCCTCCAGCTGCCGCTGGTGGCTGCCACAAGGCCCCTACCCAGCTCCTGCTCTCCTCCCTCCCCCAGGGAGCCCAGAGCAAAACATGCTGATGGAGGCCTAGCATTAACCAGAGTAAGGCACGAGAGAAATGGCCAACTAGAGGGCTGTGAGGTAAAATACTTTTTACTGTGAGGGAAAAAAAGCTACCAAGCAGATTATCAATAATGCCACACCCACATCTGCAAAGACACCCCCAAGCTAAGGAAAGCCACACCATTTCATTTTTGGTACTGAGGAAAGGCGCACTTACCATTTTTGTTCACCATTTTCAGCTAGCTGCAGGCTAGGCCCCACCAGAGCACAGGCCCTTCCACCCCCACGGTACAGCCTCTGCCACACTGCCAACACCCTCCCCCAGGGCCGAGAGCACCAATCACCCAAGGAGGGCCTGAACTGCCCCAATGGGCCTCACCTGTGGCCACAACCCCCACACCTGGGCTGGGGACAGCAGATGCCAGTCCTGGCTCTTCCCTGGGCCCCTCTCGCCCTCATCCCCACACAAACCTGCATTCCACAGGCATGCAGGTCCTGTCCCAAATAACCAAATTATTTCTTAAGTACAAACACCTCAGGAATCTTAAAAATAGTTTCTACAAAGCACTGGAAAGCAAGCAGCCAAGAGCTAGCCCTCTCCCATGAGCGAGCAAGCAGTGTTTTCTCCCCTTCTCCTCTCCCAGGTGCTGCTCATAAGCTAAGTAAGGGCAGCAGACATCTATAACAATGCCCTGCCGCACAGCCATCAAAATGCACACAGAGCATTGAAATTCAAAATACAAATCTGTTTGTGCAATACACTTTTATTTTTAGTTTATTTTTTTAACCTTTGCAGTCATCTTGGAGTAATCATCATGTAAACAGTAGGATGGGGTGGGATTACATTGAGTCATATGCAAATAGCTCTAGAACACCTCACTGATTATGACAAGGCATTATAAATAACTTCTCTTAATAATATATATTTGCCATTTTAAGTACATTAAAGAGCTGCCACTTATCTAGGATTAGCTAGCAAGTAGTTTAAATTTTAACCTCTGAGAAATGCGTCTCCAGATTTGAAAGTCTTTCTAAGGTTTGCTAGCTCTGCAACATCTATGTAACAGATTAAGCATAAGACTACTTGGGTCAGAAGTGTTTTCTTTGTTACAGAGTTTTACTTGATCATTGCACAAAGCCCTATTATTTTCATTCCACCTTGGTATTTTGCAGAACTTCAAGTAAAGCTTCAGTTCCGTTCTTCAAGTTTTTAATCACCTAGATGACACCGGTTTCTATCATTAAGGATAAGTCAGATCAGAGATGGACACAGTAAGCAGTCTACTTTAACGACAACAGTTCAACATAGTTCTAGCTCATAGATTCCCCAATAAAGCACAGTCAAAATACTCTAACACCTTTGCTACTGTATATCCCCTCCTTGCTCAGATAACTATATATATTTATATATATTGTACCATATGTATGGTACTTCTAGAAAATGGAGATTATTTATTGAAGCAGCCTCAGGCACATTCTTAAAACATTAATGTCTGCAAGGCACCTCCCACTCCCTTGACAATCAGTTTGTGGACTGGTTTTTAAACACACAACCAACAAATGCTTGCTAATGCCTAATTAATTAATTAAAAAAAAAACCAACCCTAGAAGTTACCAAATCCTTCAAAGATATACCTGAAACTTTTCTTAAATAATGGGAGATTAACTGCAAATAGCACATAATCAAGTCAAATAATTTTCTTATTACTAGGATGTGTAATGCATAAATATATGAAAAATAAAATTCACAGTCAGTTTTAAAACTAGAATTCAAGTTTGGCTAATAATTCTTAACTTTCATATTTATGTTAATTCCTAAATAGAACAGAACAGAGGCAGTATTATCAACCACAAGTACAGGTAAAATAGTATCCCTCAAAGTTTATGAAAGAAGTAAGCTTGATAGAAAATTCCTTTTGTAACCAATAAATACAGCAACCTGAGTGCGTTTCCACAGGCTTTTTACTTCGAGGGAATCCAAATCAACTGCTAAGAGACATTTAGTAGCATTTTGAACGTTAGCAGCAGCGGTGCAGCTGTGTGGGCTTTGCTTGTTCTGACTTTGTGAATTGCTAGAGAATGAAGCAGAACTCAGTGTGTGGTGCAGTAATTTTCTTTTGCATCTAAGCTGGCCTCTTCGCAATCTCACAATTCGGCTTGGGGTCAAAGGACAGACATCAGCTGACACTTAACTGAGCAAACCCAATCAGTTTCACTTCATCGGGAATCTCAGCGCCATCACAGCCAGAGGCCTGCAAGTACAAACAGAGATGTTTAGTATAGCACGCTACAAAGGAGGATTTGACAGCCAGGCTATAAATTCTCCCCGCATCACCTGGTAAGCAGACAGTTTACTTGAAAGAAAGCTTTCAGGCTGCTTGGTGTATCCTCTGCCAGTGACAGTCAACTGCATTCTTAATTTTAGCAAACTCAATCAATATCAAAAATTATGAAAAAAATACTGGGAAATTAACAATTAAAGACCTGAATTCTTTAACCCAAACTTTCTAGACTGCAACTAAATTTCATTTTTCACTTGAGCATCCTGTTTTCATTAATGAAGAGCAAATAACCTACATGCATAGAATCCGCCTTTTACCACTGTGCTGTAGACACCAAGTGTCTCATGAGTCCAGCTATCAAGTCTGTTTGGAATACCAATGCACTGAGTTTTTAAACAAGAGATTGAAGCAGTCCATGAAGAGTAAACACGAATATTTGCAAAAGGATAGCTCCTTTCTAGCAGTACAATCTAGTACTTAAAATTGTACAGCTTGAGTAAAGTCTGTCACAGTACAAACTGGCACAAGTAATCAGTTAATTTTTCACAAATAACAGTAAGAATATAAAACCACCTTGCTCAGGACTGAACTGTTACTTTAGGTCTGCTTTAAAAAATTATACATACTGTAGGCAAAATATGTTTACTTTTTTACTCTTAAATACAAAATTTGCTTCTGCAGGACAGAAGTGACTACATTTTAAATGAAGTTTTTAATGCATCCTTCACCTATGTGGTAGATAAATTGACATAATAATACAATTGAATGAACAGCGTGTAATGGTAAATTACTTATGACAGATGCCTTCAGATTCTTTGGCACATCCTCACAAAAACATCAGAACAATTGGTTCACCCAATAAAATGCTCTTGATTATTTTATGCATTAGTAGTAGCTGAACTCTTTAGTAGAACTGGTTTGTGCATATGCAACACAAGGAAAAGAGCTCTCAGATTGAGCACAGAAGGTGCACCAAATGACATTATCCACTGAATTTTCATGAGCAAAAATAAACTCACGCAATACTTGTGGAAGCATTCCATCAGGCTGCTCCTTCTAATTTACTTTGATTAGACACAGAGAACAGAAGTTCTCTCTTTGGAGAGTCTTTCAGAGGTCTTAATCCACTGAGGCAGCAAGTTAAAGACTGGAGATCATCTCATTGGTTACTATTAAGATATCTCAATGGCTTTTGGATTGAGAATTGAGTAAACAAATAGTTTTAATTTTGCACTTAAAATATAGTGATAAAAAGATAGCATACGTACAGCCAATATACACAAACTGCAACATACAAGAAAATCTCTTAGTATTTACAAATCACTGTTCAGTGACTGAATGCATTCTTTCATTAATGCTTTCTTCTCCCTTTTTTATATGAAATAGCCTAACGTAAAATGCAATCCATGCTGCTCAATAATTGTGTGTTTCCTTGAGTGTTGCCAAGATTACTTGTGTGTTAAAGCAGCCTCCTCCCCAATGTGTGGACAGCTGGATCCTGCGGGGAAATCATCATTCTGTGTTAGCCAAGACAACTAAAGGAGTTATAATACTATCTGTTGTGTAGAATTACATCATTGTAGGATCAAAGGTACACTGTTAAAAAAATATGCAAGACGGAGATAAGGACAGATTCATCCAGACACCTCACTTTAATAACTTACTTTACCGTTTTGGTTATAATTAAAAGACAAAAGTGGTTAAGACGTAAGTTGCTGTTCTTTTTTCCCCCAAAGATGGAAATGCTTGCTGATTGAATAGAAATGTAATACACCAGCAAAAGCAATCCCCAAGCAGTAAGATACTAACCAAATTCCTTGTCCACGAACAGTCGTAACTAATCCTAGACTAAAATTTCAATTGAATTCTCTGAATGCATATAGGATTAGCTAAATTTAGACTTTGAATCCCCATGAAATATTTACCAACAAGATGTGTTTTAATCAAGTTGTATACAAGTGCTCTCAATTTCAGTGAGACCCAGCTAAGAAAGACTCAGTAGGGTGTACAAACAAATGACAGACTAGGCAACAAATAATTTAGCAACTCTACTACACAATACAGAAACAGAACACGTATTAAATTAATCCAGGGATAAGAACACACATAAACATTAAGTGGATACTATGGGATATTACATTTTGGAAACTCAAGCCTTTATTTTAAGTGTGTTAATGAGACACCCAGAGTTTTACAGAGTCTTTAGAGTATCTATACATCTAAATGCTCTTGGTGATATGTTATTGACTATACAATAAAGCTAAGTCAGATGCTTAGACAGCAAGAACACGGATCAGCTGCAAAAAGAGAAGCATCAGCATTTAATCTTTATTTAGATAGGAAGGGCCACAGAAACAGAACAATTTTGAGTTACATGTCCTTATTCCCCCATCCCAACCCCTTCCCGAAAGGAACATGTAAGTCCTGCTGATTTTACTGGGCTGTAGAGGAAAAAATTCTCCAAATTACTCTGGCAGCTTAAACTACTCAAATTTCTATATTAGAAATAGTCACAGGAAGAGCAATCCTGAATTAATACATTATCATCAACCAGATCACTTACTTTCTAAAAATGGCTCTCTGCAGCCCATCTGAAGCAGTTGCTTTTACAAACAAAGCTGTGATTCTGGAGGCCTACTTATTCAACAGACACTCAGTCTAGTCTTTCCTGCACGGCTGAGGCACTCTCAGCAAGGGGTGCTGAAAGCTAATTGGTAAGAGTTTGGTATTTACACAGCTAATCATTCAGTAGCTTTAGGTATGTAAATTTTCCAACTTAATTTTAGCAAGAAATACAAACAAATACAGCAAATCAATTCTGAATTAAGTTTTTGCAGTGTGAAGTTATTAATCTTAAATTAGATCTATCATGATAGCATCAAAATTGACCAAAATTCGGACCATGGCCCAGGGCACAAAATGCAGCACAGAAAACAGCCCCAGACCTAAACCCAGGGTCTCATGTTGAATGTGCAGAGGACAGAAAGCAGTGAGGAGGGAGAAACAGTAATGAAATTCAGTGGGAGCAAGATTAACCTGCTAGTGTGGATGGTCAACTGAAAGCATGCTGAAGGGAAGAACTAAGGAGAAAGCCAGCAGTGGAGAGGGCGACCTGCAAGCAAGAAAAATGGTGGCAGGGGTTGGAAAAAAACGGGATTGGAACAAAATGTCCATCAGCACTTCAGCCATGGCAGAGCCGAAGGAGTGTGGATGGAGGAGAGTTAACCTAAAAACTACAGTTTTCTCTGCTTTACTTCATTCTTCCCAGGGGTTTTCTCCCTGTAGTTTCCCACCTAAAGCTCAGACCTCCTCAGAACTAATGCAAGTGAACATCCTACCCCTTCACAGTTATGGAGCTGTGTGACTGTACATATCCCTAATGTCCTGTCAAAATAGCTTGTAGGTTTTTTCTCTCACACACAGCAATTTCAATCATCTTTTCTGTCAACACATTTATTCAGCAAAATAGCTGTAAATGAGAAAATCCAGACTCTGTATGAATACTGAGAGAATAAGTTAGTTGCTTCCCGTCATACTTTTACTTACCAACTTAAAAGTCAATGTTTTCAAGGCCTTTGGATCATCTACTATCTTCTGTAAGTTAGCAGCAACTGTAAAACAAAATATGAAAAGAATATGATTTACAGAAAATTGCATTAAACATGACTTCAAGCCTCATGTTGGATCTTCTACTTAATTCTACACACATACACGCCTGTAAATTACCACTCAAATCATTTAATCACTCTCTAGGTGTCATTTGAAAGTCTGAGTGCAGTTGGGCTGCCATAAATCCTGCCTCCTTTCTTTTGCAGTCACTGATACTTTGTGACTATGTGAACTCATTCCTGAAAAAACCTGTCTGAAAACCAAATGATAGGAAAAAACCCTACTAATTTTCAGCTTAGTCTATTCCATAATTTGCTTAACAATCACACAAATGCAAGTGCAAGGGAAGTAGAAGAATCACGCAGCCAAGGACAAGCCATGATTTATATCATGGTTCTACTATAGCCAGGGTCACCATCAGCACAACTTTCTAGGAGAAGGCTGGGCTCACTGTCACCTCCAACTTCTGTTTCTCCTGGCTGTGTGTGCTTCTGTCCCTTTTGGGGCATTAATACCCACATAGACTATTGGTGATCTGCTACAGCTCACCAAACCGAAGTGAAAATGAGCAAAAATTAAGAGAGTGATACAAAAAGAGCTGATCTTCCAACTACTCTCTCAGTAAGCATGACCAAGTGCTGTGGTTTAGTGGACATCAAGGTCTGTGATGTAGCACACGTAAGCAGTTTAACTAGATCTGTAGATCCAGAGAAGGCAGGCATATGCCATCACAGAAATAGCAGGAAGGGAGAAGGAGGTGGGAAATTAATAAACCCTTTTTATATCAAAACACCCAAGTCATTCCTGTAATTGGTCGATTTTTTTTTACAATATTGCTACCATTAATCTTGACCAAAAAACTGGCTGTGTTCACCCTGTACATTTACTAAACTTGCTCCCCAGCTCTTCAGAGTCATAGGTCCTGAGCTAACCCAGACTTAATCATTGGAAGCCTTCGTTCAAAGCCGACTTAAAAGCACAAGATGTCATCAACAGGACATCAGCATGAGATAAAGACAGGACACTTGGCAGAGCTGTTTAGACAAGGGTTTCAAAAGGAAATAAACAGGCATTTCTTAGTACACTGAGTAGGTAAGTAGCATACAGCAGAGAAGCAAGAAACCAGAAGTTCTCCATAAATAATACTTCCACAGATTTCATAAGGTGGAAGATACACAGCAAACATTCGCATGTTGAATGTCCTACTGCTGCAAACTCAAGTTCCTACTTCCTCCATCTTCTAACATTACAATGATGAAATTTTCACTCTTTGCATGCCTGATCATCCATGATTCACTGCGTAGAGCAGAACAGAAATCGCCCTCTCAGGGGGAAATACAGTATTTGGCAAAGGAATTTAGAGAAGTAAACAATTAGGCCAATCTACCACTGTTCAATGCAAATTACATTTTTGGGGGTCTCATTTTCTTGACATCACTGAAATGGCACCAAGGATTGTTTATACAACTGTAACAAATTTGGCTGGGGTGTAAAGGGTGTTTAAAACTAAAAACAAGCCTTATTAGCCAGCATAAGGTACATTTTGTAGAGAACACTTTTTGGAAAGAAAAAAATTAACCTCCACAGTTAAATGAACTCAACTATAGGCACTGCAGTAGAAAGGCTTTCCGCTTTTAAAGCTTCATTATTCATAATCTTCTTTATTCTAGTCAGTATTATAAACAGTTTTTATTTTAATCACACAATTCACTTCCACAATCAATAAATCAATTTTATTGCAGCACCTCCTATCTAACAAAATTCAAATACAGATAATGCTTTTCATTACAATTAATACTTAGAACCTCATACACAGGAAAAAAGAATGCTCAGCCTCAAGGCTCATGAAGTCAGGACAGAATAGCTTCAGTTCTGTATGTTTTAAAAACCTGTAAAATAGGATCATACACTCAAGAGCAGCTCTGGCTTATCCAAATCCCTGTAAAACATGTCTTAAAAATAGTAAAAAAGGAAAGAATAAATTCTCTAGCCAGTGTTAGCTGGCTTTACTGCAATGGAGACAAAGTGCTACAAAACCAGATAGGAGCAGGGTCCTAAATCCAAAGATTTCTAACTTTACCTATTATAAAATGTTACAAAAAGATGAGCTTCAAACGCACGCTTGTCTTCAAGAGGGGCAGCCTTTCATCTAATGTCGAGCAGCCATAGAATGACTGAGGCAAGTCTGCACGCTGCTTTGCCATTTTGCCTAACACAAAAACTTCTAGGTGTCCTTCAGCAAAGGTACTGGCAAAGCCACTCTTCCTGCACTTGCAAACAGCAGCCCAGTAACAGCAAGTGTTTCAATGAACTATCGTACAGTGGAAAGCAGCACTGAGGACTTCACAAGTAGCATCAAAACCCTAAAAACCCCTCACCTTCCTGGTGGTTCTGTACTAGGGAAGAAACTGAAATTTTCAAAGCAAAACCAGCAAAAGATAAACCAGCAATATATGTAAATAGTCAATTCTAATTACTTCTTTCTGTTAATTAAATACCATAAAAGAAAGGAGTGATACCATTCTTCAAGAAAACGGCTTTTCAAAGAACAGTCCTCATCAAACGGCTGCAGCGACACAGTTTCATTTGTTCGCTTGTCTGTACTTCTAACATGAACAGAAGCCAAATACTTTTACATATAAAATGCTAGAGAAACATCTGAAGAAAGCACATGAAATATGCTTTATTTTTGCCCCTGATGGGCCATAACTAGAGTGGGCCATGTTTAATCAAACAGAAGATTAGGAGGATTTAAGGGAGTAAAGCCAGATGTTTTCAGGCTACACTTGAAAATGAGAAAGCAGACCTGCAAAGAGACCACACTTTTAGACTACAAGTTTACATAAAAAATAGTCACAACTACAGTTTCCTCCAGAGAGATCTCTTCAGTTTCAATTATGCATATTCAGCATGTTTCAAATAAAAGTACCGTTTCACCTGTGACTCCTGGTACTCTGTGTCTTACATCTTCTGGTCTTTACAGAATGGATTAAGAAATATTTTGCCAAAATAATGTAATTAATCCCATTCAATCAAGCCATCATGAATGCAAATCCCCCCAAAGGCCTGCTCTTTCTGCAACATCTGAAAGTGTAAGTAATTAACATAACTGAGAGTGAAATATGTGTGCATAATTACCTAGCAAAACTCTACAGTCTTGTTGGTTTATTTTTCACTTTTCTAACTCCTCAGTTTTGTTTTCCTAGGTCTTGTCCTTATGTAGACTGCAAGGCCAACAATTAGAGCTAACTGCCTTTGGAATTGGATACTTAAGTCTGCATTTCAGGAAACTCCTTAAAATATGATTCATCTCTTTTAGGAGTGAGACAATCCTTTTCATTATCCTTTTCATCTTAGCACATGCCAAAGATTCGAGGTACCACAAAAAGTGCACAGGTGCAGAGAGACACGCTCAGCGCTAAACACCTTGAAGATCTGGGCTCAACTGGTAACTGAATTTTTGGGGCCTGATAAAGTCAGGTAGGAAAACCAGCACTAAGCCATGAACTGCAGGTGTCCTTGGCATCTCTAGTTTAGTCATCCTCCTTTAGCAGCAGAGCCTGCAGCACAGGCAGGAGAAGCTACCCAAGCAGCTGAAAGTCTGTCCTGACAGCCAGCCTGTAGTGCTTTCCAACTACTTCTCCAGAAAGTTTGGAGATCCCATCTTAACTACAATAAAGACATCATCAAAATTCCAAGTAGAACATCATACTCCAGAGAGGAATACTCATCCTACCTTAAATGCCTAAATTAAGCTGTCAGTTGCATTAACTTACCACTTTTAGGAATGTACTTCTAAAAATTTAGGACTACCACTAAACCTACGCAGTTTGGACTATTAAGTATGCAAAGTCTCCTGAAAGACACCAAGAAACTCATGCCAGACATAGTCTCACAACAGTAAATAATGTTGTCGCATACGAGCAGTTGCTGCTACTGTTCAGCCCTATCCAGAATTACATCAGGCAAGAAAGACAAACAATTACTTTTAAGTGGAACTGCTATTAGGCTTTACTGATGAACATCTCTCTAAGCTACTAAATTTAGGCTCCTTTCATCAAGGAAAATTATTTACTAGGTTGAGAGACACTAACCCTCCAAGTACAGTTCATGTACAAAGTGTTAATTTTGCTTAAATACACAATTTTGCTTAAAGTTTCTAAATGCAGATGAACCCAAATATTGCACATCTTCAAATACTAGGAAGGAAAATAACCATCCCACTCTCAAAGACCTCTCCCTCCCCCACGCTCCGAAAAATTATTCTTCTGCAGTTCAGTGAACAAAGTCAATTCCGTACAGGGACACTCTCCCTCAAGCGAAAAGGAGTTTCACACTAGGGGTTTCTAGAGAGGTAGGAATTGTTCTCTCCACTGAGACTTAAATTATTTGGAAAACCAGAGAACACTGTAAAATGTATGTCTCTGGATTCTACTTTACACCTTATCTCTAAAGTTAAGTACACTACAGCTCCTATTGATAAATCCATTTTTCTCTGAAGCACTCTGAAGTCATGCCTTGGGTGTCGTACTTGTGCAATTCACAGTAGATTAGTTCGCCTGCAAGCAGCACTAATTGACAATTTGAAATCCTGTTGGGAATTCACTGCCTCTACGTGGCCTGGATATACCAGAGTCAACTTTATTTTGCAGAGTATTTTCTCAAGATGTTATGGCCACGCTCCTGTAAAAGTCAGAAGGAGAAACATGAACAAGATAACTGCAGGAAAAAACTAAGTGGTGATGGAAAAACCTTTGCCAGCAATAACCTCAAGTAAACAGAGTATACTTCAAATCATGCCTTGGAGCAAAGGCCCTCTTAAAACAGCAGCAGTTAGCACAATAGGCTTTTTGTTGTTTACAGCAATAGATGAGGTGTAGTTCAGAAAGGTTTTCTTCAGAAGGCTTCTGAAGGACATGCAATCAACCTGTGTAACCACAAATCACTCCAGGTTCTTCTGCAGGTTTTGCTCAGTGACAAATGGTTGTGCCATTCTGCCAAA